AGTGGTCAAGCTTGTTTCTCCTGGGGGCGCTCTTCCGGGGGTATTTGGGCTGCCTTCGGAGTCTCAGCGTCTTAGGCCGCCGGAAGGTGAGTGACGTACGGATCTTCTTTTTTATTTTTTGGCTGTGGATGCCCTTCAGGACTGCCTTCTTGGCCTTTAATGCCTTTGATTTGCCTTCCGTTTTGGGAGGGGCAGGGGCTTCCTTCTTAGCTTTGGGGGCCATCTTCGTAGAAAGGGCCACCATTACTTCTTAATAGTGCTTAGTTTATAAAGTGTTTGACTCTCAAAATCATCTGATGAGGTAAACAAGTCATCATTACTATTCTTCCTATTCCAGAGCTGAGATTCTGGCAGAATTCAGTAGTAACCTGACCTCAAGCCTGGTCTGCCAGGTTCTGATACAGTTCTCAAGGCCCAGCCGACAGAAGCATTTTTCTAACTCACCTATTTCTGTTACAAAGACATTTTAAAAACAACAACAACAAAAAATTGAGATAGTGAGCCTATTTTCTATAAAAAGTTGGCATCCTCCCAGGAACAATAACAAAGTTCAACAGAGTAACAAGCAACAAATGCTGGTGAGGTTGTGGAGAGATTGAAACTCTTATTCACTGTTGGTGATAATGTAAAATGGTACAGCTACTAAGGAAAGCGGTATGGCAATATCAGAAAGTTGGAAACACAAATTCCATTTGACCCAGCAATTCCATTACTGGGCCTATACCCTAAAGAAACCAGAGCCACAACTCAACCATATGTAAGCACACCCATTTTTATTGTTGCATTATTCACAATAGCAAAGAGATGGAAGCAACCCAAGTGCTCAACAAACAAATAAATAGTAAAACTATGGTACATTCACACAATAAAATATTACACTGCAGTGACAAGAGTTACAGAAAGGCTTCAGGTCTTTTGTTCATTGGGTTGCTATGAGTTGTGCTCAACTCCTCGGGAAACACAATGAAATCATTAAACATTACACAACATGGGGAGCCTTATGGGACATTATTTTAAGTATCTCAATCACAAAAGAACAAATACTACATAACACTATTATTATAAACAAGACAGACATGGGGGAATTCAGAAGAGAATGGGGGAAGAATGGATAGATAATGAACACTGCAATAAAACAGATGAGGGGAAGAACTGTGTGAAAGGAATGGATGATTAGGCATTATATGCATGACAGTAGTCTGGAACAAGGGTTGAGAGAGGATGAGGGGAGGAGGAAAAATGTGCAACAATGAGCAAAAAATAAAACAAAAATTTTAAAAACTCCAAGGAGGCAGGCAACAGCAGACCTCAGGAGGCTGTCAACAAAAGTACTAAGGAAAAAAAATCAAAAAAGCATCCCAGAGATATTAGACTGGACATTCCCTGGGATGGGAAGGGCATACCCAAATGTTTCCCAATAAAAACAGCAGAAAAAAAATAAAATCAGGTAGGGACAAGTGGTGGTCAGAGAACACCTTCCTGAGAAGGGCTGTAATAAAGAAGGTGAGATATTAAAACACAAAACAAAACTTGGGATCCCCGATTTCTCTATTTGTTAAATTTTTTAAGGGTTATAAACACAGAAAATGTTTCCAAGAGGAATAAAGCAGAAAGATACTACATACACAAGTCCTGCCTCCAAATTTCCAAGGCACTGGAATACAGCCCAAAGATACCTTTCTGTTCAAGTCACTTTGAAGCTCAGTGGCATGTACTCACCTTTGGGAAAGCAGCTGCTCCATGTCAACCCCTTCTCTCTGCTGATACTCTCTCAGAAGGCTGTGGGCATGATCCAGATTGACAAAGTTTCCGTAGTCATCCTCGTCCACGACACAGATGTAGTAGGGCAGAAACTGTGGCATCACAGACAACTGTAGTTCTTCAGGGGATACAGCACAAGAGGCATCCTGGATACCACCCTGCAGGCTGAGATCCTGGAGCTGGGCTGGCCAGCCTATGTGTTGGACACTATTAGTATTGCTTTCCAAATCCAAAGTGAACTGTGGAGGAGGTACCTCTTCATTGTCACTTCCCCAGTCATCTGCACCTTCACACCAGTCCTCGGCTACAAGCCTGCTTTCCTGTTTCTGAAAGAACAGCCAACCAGTACACTTGGATAATCTCAGTTACTTCCATCCCTCATCTTCCTGAGGAAGACTTCACATCACCAGCCCTTTCTCCACTAACATACTCTAATTCACCATTCTTATTTAAATTTTTATTTTATTATTTTTGTGTGTGTGTACCGTCAAATCAGATCTGACCGGTACAGAAAGAGATTGTCCCTCCTTCCCCGGCAGAGCATCTGGTGGATTTGAACCGTGAGCCTCTGGGATTGCAGTGCAGCTTCTTATCAATTCACCACTCTTTAACACATCTACTCAAAAGTTTGATGAAGGTGACTTAAATACTTGTCTTTCCTTTTCACAGACACTATGGCAGATGTACTAATATAATTTCTTTAAGCATCTATTCTGAATTCCTGCTACATATCATCTATTTACAGAAACAAAAGAAGAGAACTGTATTTCCCAAACTCTCCTTCAGTAAAGGTTCCAGATACTATGCGAATCAGGCCCACTGGGAGAGAATGAAGTGAGGAGACAGACCAGGAAAAAAAGGCAGCTGGTCTGTGTAAAAAGTAAAACAAACAAACCAAAAAACCCCCACACCACAAATAAAAAACCACCACCAGACCTGTCAAGGGCAGCTTCCAGTATACCAGGCTACAATGAAGCTTCTTTCCAGGCCCCCTCCTCATTTCATGGTCTGAGAGGGATGCTAAGTGATTGCCTTTACTGCATGGTCTTGAGAGAGATGCAAAGTGACCGTGAGCAGAGAAGATGAAAATGGCGCCTGGGCAAAGGCAGTTTTTTATAGGAGTTTTAGGGAGGAGTAGGGAAGATGGTACAATGAAGCTTCTTGATAGGCCAATTCTAGGCTGGGGTTCTGTTGTTTATATGTGGAATCTCCTCTTCCAGCTTATTAACTTTTTAACCTTTTATTAACTCATTAAAAATATGACTCCTGGAGCTCTGGTTACCTAGTGGCAAAAAGCTGCACTGCAATCCCAAAGATGCATGGTTCAAACCCACTAGATGCTCTGTTGGAGAAGGAGAGACAAACTCCTGTGCCAGTCGGGTACACCAAATTAAATGAAAAAAAAAAAAATTAACTCCTGGTATTAGTCTATCTCAGCTTTTAAAGAAAGCCAGTATTTTTCAATCATCTGACGAAATGACAGTGACATTATCTCAGCTTTTAAAGAGAGTCAGTGTTTTTCAATCATCTGCATTTCGTCAACAAGATGAAATGACACAGTGACTTTAACAATGGGCTCGAGCATGATGGAGATCATTTGGTTGGGGCAAGATGTGGCATGGTTCTGATCTGTTCTTCAAGGAGTTAGTTACTCTGTGTCATTATCAATTTGATGGCATAAGAACAACAAGGTGTTAAAATAACTATGAGATATCATCTCACCCCAGACAGAACAGCAAAATTTAACAGAACAGCAAGCAACAAATGCTGGTGAGGTTGTGGAGAAACTGGAACCCTTATTCACTGTGGGTGGGAGTGTAAAATGGTGCAACCATTGTGGAAGGCGGTATGGCACTTTCTCAGAAAGTTGCAAATAGAGATACCATT